TGTGTGTGTGTGTGTGTGTGTGTGTGTGTGTGTGTGTGTGTGTGTGTGTGTGTGTGTATGTAATCTGTGAGCCCAGACCCAAAGATGTTAAGCTGTGGCTAAAACAGTTATCTTTTCTCTTCATCGAGGAGAGAGCACTCAGAGGAAGAAAGTGAATGGCATAGGCCACCATCAGATGAAGACGGACTCAGGCACAGCTGTCCCTGCTCAGCAGCATCAACAGCAAGCAATCTATAAGGAGGAGTACAGCTGCGAGGCAGAGACTCATTTCCTCTCTTGAACCCCTATCTCTTCCCCTGGCCTGCCAGCACACAGGCTTCAAAAGAGACCTCTGAACACCTCTCACTTAGAAGGCAATAGGAGAATCGGCTGAGCACACAGAACCTAGACAGGGGATGCTGTTTCCACAGGGGCAGGTAAGGAAGGGAAGAGCAGCCAGCAGCTCATTAGGCCATGCGTGGCCTGGCCCTTCTGGGAAGTAAGGCCTTTAACTGTGTCCCCTGGTGAGGCAGCACTGGCCAGGTCGTCACCCTGAATGCCTAAATTAGTCACTTGGCTGCACTCATGGTGGCACGCACCTGTCATCCCAGCACTCACAAAAGAGGGTAACAATGATAAGATAGTGTGGGGTGTGAACGGATTGCTATGGATCTATTTCTTCAGTTAAAATCAAGAGTTCTCCACAACAAACATAGCTGAGCAAAGACCTCTGTGAGTGACAGGGCTCTTGGCATGGGACTGATCACAACTTTTCTCTGAGCTTCCATCCCCTCACCCAAGAATTGCATTGCTTTGAGGACTAAGGCAGATCATGAGCCTGAGCAACTGCCCTGCTGCCTGTTGCCAAGAGCTGCTCCGAAATTGCAGCAAGGTACATACAGGCTCCCAATGGATGACAAACATCCACCAAGAGGCCAATCACACCTTTATGGCCAGCAGCAACCTCCTTACTTAGTCACCCTGCAGCGGAAGCTGCATATGGCACAGGGAGACACGCTGCAGCCTAACACAGCTAAGGCTCAACACAGGACCAGCAAGCAGGGGACTTCGCAAAGCCTCAGAGGCTGGGATTTCTACTCTGTGGCAGGTGAGAAAATCATGCACTGGCCCATGAATGTCTCACGCAGGATGCAGGTAGAACAGAAAGGCCCAGAACTTGTTAAAAAAGACCACACGTCTCCTTCATTTCAAACCACATGAAAACCAAAACCTACAAGTCCTCATTTCTCTCGTTGATTATTGTACTGGCAGGAGGTGGTTTATGTAGCTTGCCAATGTGGCACAGGAATTCCCTTTGAGACTTTGGATGTCCACAGAGCATCCAAAACAGATACCTATCTGTTCAGATACCAACCTGACAAAGTCATCAGGAAGTAGGTCAGGAGTGACGCCCAGCGAGTCAAGCACATCATTTCGTATCTGCAACAGCAGCTCTGAATCCTCGCTGTAGCTGTCACAACTAGGATCTCTCCCTTTATCTGTGCGGAATTTCAGCAGCACTGTGAAAGGGGAAAAGAGAGGTTAGAGAGCTCTTATAATGATCTCATTTCAAAATCTCGATCAACAAAAATCCCAAATGTCTTTCTTCTTGATCCAACTATAGGAAGTAATATATTAAAGTGGTAATAGATTATTCATCTATCCAACAAATGCGGGCAGGAAGCAACCATAGAATTACAGTAACAACATTTTCTGGGACAAGTCCCCAGAAAGTAAAATGGGGTCTGAGCCAGCTACAGGTCAAAGTCAGGTAAGGTTTTCCTGAGGAGGCAACAAGTAGCAGGAAAGACCTTGAGGAGAGGCCAGGGTGGGAGGCCTGCATTCTAGGCATCAATTCAAAGGGTTGCTTCAGCCAGAAAGGATGGTCAAATACTCACTCACCAGACAGGCAGGTTACTGCAAACAAACCTCCCTTAATACAAGAGCTGTGTCAACCTCCAGGAACTAACGAAGCAGGGGAAAGGTTCCAACCACAGCTTGGAAGCAGGCCTATGTAAGGAGACCTTAACAAGGCTAGACCTTAGTCCAAATGAAGCAGTATTGACACAAGCATGCTCAGCTGTTGCTGCACCTGGCCCATTGTCACCTGTGCACCTCTCCAAAGCAGAAGAAGCACTGGGAGTCAAAGTCTGCCCACACCACACAGTATAATGCAGAGTGGAAGCAGAGACATGTGACTTGGCTTCTTAGCCTAAGCCCAAGGTGCTCCACACAGCACTTACCTGGGCAGCGATCTCACTATGCAGCCTCTGCTCAACAACAAAGAGGACACATTCAGGCAGTTAGTCCCAGGGTAAAGAAGATGGGCGTGCACAGGTAAGTGCGGGTTCCTGTGGAAGCCAGGTGTCTGGTTCCCTGGGGTACAGATGGCGGAGTCACCTGAACTGGGTGCTAGAAACCTAACTCTGGTCCTCTGAAATAGCAAAGTACTCTTAATCCATGAACCATCTCTCCAGGCCTAGCTTTTGTTTTGAAAGACCATCCTATTATTTTGAGACTGATAAACAACTTGGCAAGACTCAGTCCCAGTTTCTAAGTAACACTGAGCAGCCTCAGAGGCACTTACCTTCTGAAGGCAGACCTGTGAATCCATCGAAGTTTGGAAATGGGTTTCAAGTGTTCCAAGAAACAAACCAGAAGAGCCCAGATAGAAAAAGAATGATTTCTGAGATGTCTCTGCTGAACAAAGTGCTGAGCCCTATTTCTTTGACAACCATTACACGTCTAGTATAGGGTCTGTGTATGAAAATCTTTAACAAACAAAAGCTTGCTCAGGGTAGTGTCTGCAGTCTGGGACAATAGCTTCTCCAAGGGCATCATTGGGCCCCTTAGTGCTGCCTGAGCAATTGACAAGCTAGCGGCCAGCCGTCATGCACTGCCATCATGGGAGCTTGGCTTCTAGCTGCACACCAGATTTGTGGTGATAGGTACCGAATTGGCACCCGGGAAATGGCTGGAGTGGCAGCTGTTCCCTGTTGTGCAAAAAGTCTTTTCCCCAATGTCCCACGGAAACAGGGAGACCCAGACACCATTCTAGCCAGAGCAGTTTCTCTGGGTGGCCCCACACAATGTCAGTGACTCCTGAGAAGACAGGGCACTAGCACCCAAAGTGGGTAATGAGTGCTGCTAGCACAGACTATGGATGTGACGCCAGCTAGCTAGATGAGACCCAGTGGCTCGTGACAGCAAGAGGAAGCCAGCCTGCAAGTTCCTGGAGAGAGGAGAAGCAGCCCTGCATTGGTGGCGTCCTGCCCTCTGCCCTTTTTCTCTGTTGCTGGGAGTACCAACTTTCACAAGTGACCAGGAAATGTAAGTTTTCAGTTTTCACTACCAAATTTACAAAATACACCTCTGGGAATAAAGCCTAAACTGTGATAGAACCTGCCATGTGTGAGGAGCCATGCTGAATACACTACATGAGTACCCGGTTATCTTCATGAGAGTAACCCAAGAAGATGGTGAGACAATTACCCACCTACTTTCAGAGGAAGAAACACTCAGGGAGAGATGATTCACTTAACTGCTCAGAGTATAGGCACAGGAGCATCATAGTGGGCCTGCTTCTGGACTCCAAAGAGGCAGAACCATGCAGGAACTTGGCCTCTTTGGTCATCTGGCCCTTTGTAACACTGGACTACATTTTTTGCAAGACACATTTTCCAGATGGTCTTGAATACTCACAAAGATAATGTCCATTGCAAACTACTAGATCAGAGGGTGAACAGAAGAATCAGAAAGCCTTGTCCATCCATCTTCAGAATAACATCAGCTTCACCTTAGAAAGAAACTAGGCGGCACGAAAAGGAAGAGCTAAGGCGGACGGGCAGTGGCTTGCTGTTCTGGGTGTAGTCTGCCTGGATGAGGCCGGCAGGCTGGCACCGTGCGCATGCCTCCCTGACCACATCTGAAGTGCTCTCAGGGCCACTTATTTGCAGTAAAGCAAACAGAAGCTGTCTTTTTCACTCTTTTCGAATGTCAGCACTCATTAGCAGAGGTGAAGAGGGCGGGAAGAAACTCATGTTCTAGAAAGGCAGTGACCTCAGATCTGACCCCAGCCCCTGACAAGTTCTTATTACATTCTGCTCTTTGTTTTGCTTCCTGCTGCTCTTAAACAGCAAGCCACACACAGGCACTGCTGTTGACTCTGCGTTTCTGAAGCATACCTCCTCACCAGTTTGGGTTATAATTCACTCGGATCAAACAGTGCCAGGGACAGAGGACGGCTCTGACAAAAGATGACTCATTGGATAACATAAAATCACGACAAAATGAAAGTTCCAAACTTAATTAACTTCCTGTGAACCATTTAGCGCTGGCTGCCCAGTCCAGGGAGCTGACCTCTACTACTGGAGGGAATGGACCCATGTCTCCGCAAAAGTTCAGGATCTGCCCATGTAAAGCAAAAGACAAACTCTGAACACAAATATCCACTGGGTGATGGCGGTGTATGCCTTCAATCCCAGCACTCAGAAAGCAAAGGCAGGTCAATATCTGTGTTCAAGGCCAGCCTGGTCTACAGATGGAGAGAAACCCTGTCTTGAAACAACAAAAACAACTGGGCATGGTGGGGCACTCTGGGGAGGCAGAGGCAGGTGGATCGACGTTGAGTCCAAGGCCAGTCTGGTCTACGAAGAGAGACCAGGACAGCCAGGGCCCACATACAGAAATCCTGTCTTGAAAAAAACAAACAAACACAAAAACCAACAAACAAAACCCCCAAAGTATCATCTCACATTAGTTCAAAGAGAACCTGTGTGAATGTGAACATAACACAGCTTCTACAAAAATATCTAAGCATGCTCAAACTTCATCTGCATTCAGCTCAAAGTTACCAGCAGCTGTGGTAACACAGGTAGAAGGACACTAAGAACTTTACAGTCAAGGCTAGCCTAGGCTACATAGTAAAATATCTCAAAAAACAAGTCAGTCAGGTGGTGGTGGCGGCCCATGCCTTTATTCCTAGCACTCACAAGGTAGAGACAGGCAGACCTCTGAGTTTGAGGCCAACCTGGTCTACAGAGTTGAGTTCCAAGACAGCTAGGGCTACACAGAGAAACTCTGTCTTGGAAAATTCTAAATAAATAAATGTAACAAAATACTACACGACAGGGATGCACCTCAGTAACAGTATATTTACCCAGTAGGTACAAGGCCCTGTATTCCATCCCTAGCACAGAATCAACAGCCAAATACTGTGATATTTAACATAATCACCAAGGGCACCCCAAACAAAGCAGCACACATATACATATTTAACAGACGTTAATGAGGTGTCATAAAAAGCCACAACACAAGCTAGTTTCAAAACTAGCTCAACTGGGGGTATATGGAGGTGAACTTGTATTAAATATCCTGTCTAACTGATGTTCCAGGCTTTCCTAACCAGGCACTGTGGCCTCACTGTCCTAATGCTCTCTAAGGTCATCCACCCCCAGCTAGCTCACTTAGTAAGGCTTCCTTCAGTTGTTTTTTAGATACACGGTGGTACATTGCCGAGGTTAGTCTTGAACTCATCTATCAGAGATTCCCCTCTGTCAGCCACGATGGTGCTGGGACTAGTAGTGTTGGGAATTAGCCTGTTTCTAACAGGCTAATTGATGTTTTCTGCCTTCACACAGAATTTCACTATGTGGCTCAGGCTGGCCTGGAATTCCGGTCCTAATTCAGCCTCCAAATAACTAGGAGTGCAGGACTACCATAGTACCATACCAGGTCTCCTCCAACAGCTAACTGAGGACTGAGTCAATCATCCACTCAATTCATATGCAATGAGCCCAGCGCTGAGCAGTGGAGGGCATGGGATGTTCTGCCTCCCCACAGGATTCCGACAGGATAACCAACCAAGACCACAAAGGTACTAGCATGGCTAACTCCAGAAGCTCTGACGGCGCAGAGAGACCAGGGAATGCTTTTCTCAGCAGGCAGTGGCTAAGTATGTAGCCCCCACTACATACTTAGTTCTCTCTGCTCGGCTGCACCTTCTCTGTACCAAGGTCATCCCAGGCCAGAGAGCTGGCAAGTTAGAGGGTAACACAAAATACCAGGAAACAGCCACATGGCTAAAGATTCTTCCGGAAAATTGAACTCTCAAGGAAGGTGTTTAAGCCTGAGGACAGTGTGTGGTTCAGTATGAGCATACCAGAAAGATGCCTGGCAGTCCTGTCATTCCCCCAGCAGCTCACATCCCCACAGAGCAGCCAGTACTGGCTCTGGTCCCCTGTGTTACAAGCAGAATTAGCTCCTCTCCTCTCTTTCTCTTTCTTTCTTCTCGCCTCAGTTTCTTTTCCTCTTCTTAGTTAAGATATCTTACCCTGGAAGTCCAGGCGGGCAAACTTTTGGCAGTCCTCTTGGCAGGACCATTAGAAGTTCAAGGTTATCTTTTACTCCACAGTAGTTAATGCCAGCCTTAGACTAAAGGAGACCCCGTTTCAAATACCAATGCCCCCCTGCCCCTCCCAAAAAACATCTCTTGGAAGCCAATATCGTACTTGGAACTCAG